TAGTGTGTCATTTTGGCTGTGTCCCTGTGTCTGTCTCAGTCTCTAGCTACTGATTTATATGATCATATTTGCAATCAAAAATTTAAGGTACGGAACTGATGGAGGGCATAGATAGATTTAGTTGTTTTGAGACAATAAAACCTGAGAAAATACAGTGCACTGGGTTTAACTTCAAGTCTTCAATGACTACATGGAGTCAAGGAGACAATAGTCACAGAGAATGTTTCTAGTCTCAGTGACTTGAAAGCATGACTTCACCAAAAAAAGTGAATATTGTACCTAACAAAACCCGTGAATATGTTGCACTTCACCAAAACATGCAAGCTTTTCAAGCCCTCGAAGAAGAGAGATGCTTTTTTTTTTTTCAAATTGAGCCTTGAAAGATGATCTGATGATAGATGATCAATAAGCACTTCTGGTGGTGGAAGAGACGGTTTTTTTTTTATTTTTTATTATTGTTAGTTTTTTTGTGGGATTCAGACTTTGTGTGTCATGTTTTGTAATAATCTTCCGTTCGCTTAGACTTTCTTTTAATCAAATTCAAAAAGAAGGGTTTTGTATAGAACTTTGGGACAAATGGAGATGGGCTAGAGATGGAGTCTACTATGTTTGTGTTGTTAGGCAATCTTCACTGTATTTAAAAAGATTTAATTCTGTTGTGTACAAAACAACAACAAGAATAAAAGAAATAAAGAAAAGGAGAGAATTTGTTTGATTACAAAAATCAAACTCGAAATAAAAAAAATAAAAATAAAAACAGATTTTATTTTGTTACATAAACAAAATTAAAATCTGATTTAAATAAATAAAAACAACACTGAAAATAAATTAAACAACTTACTTGATTTAATTTCTTTGAATTATTTTCTGATCAAGTCCAGTGTTTGACACTGTGTCCTTAAGACAGATTCGTCCTCTCCACGGTGCTTTCAGAATTCGGACGTCTATCTCCCAGGATGAAATGATCTACCACAAACAATAGCAGCACTACTAATTGTTTGCCTTACGAACACACTAAGTATTTACGCTCTTTCTTTCGGAAATAAAATGCAGCAAGATGAAGAATATAAATAGCAGAAGTGAAATACGAAATTTCTGAATGGAAAACATCAAATGAGGGTGGTCTTATTTATAGATGTGAAGGTGGCTCTTGGTTTTGAATTAAACAGGTATGTAGCTCTTGGTTTTGAATTGAACAGGTATCATACTTGTTGGGTTTTGAATTCAAACAGATTTGAATCAATTCAAATAGATAGTAAAACGGGAAGGGCCCTGTTTGGGTATGCACTAATTCCAAAACAGTTTATTTCTATTTGAAACCGGGAAGGGTCCTGTTTGGATGAACAAAAAATCCAAACCAATTTAATTTGAATTCTGGATTTTATTTTTAATAAAAAATAAAATTAAACTCAAATGTTTTTGGCCCAAAAAGATTAGAAGCCCAACCCAACCACACACCACGCACTCGCGCCCAGGCCCAGCCCGACCGAACGGAGGCGGCGCGTGTGTGGTGATTTTTGGGTCCAATGGGTCTAGCCCATTTTGCCCATAACCTCTCCCTCTAAAACACTTGGGTACCCCTTGGGGCACACCCCAAGTATCTCACCCTAAGCCTTATAAGCCCTTTCAAAACTTCCCACCAAATCAATGTGGGACAAGCCAATTTACAACCTTAAGGAATTTCCACCAAAACTCCATTTCCATGGAGCACACTTTGGCTTCAATTTCCCATTCACTCGGTAATGGTTTTGAGCAACCAAATATACCACGTAAATCACAACGCGGCATAGAACGCGTTACCACTTTGACCCGAGTAAATCGACACTCGGGGCCCACCTAAAAAATAGACCGAACTTAGGAAAAAATTCTGATTTTATCTAGAATTTTATAACCATTTCCAACATGTGTTCATGGCCTAACATTATTAATGGGCTTTATTTACATTTATGTTTCCAAATCTACCTTCACCCTTTGCAAGTCGATGCAGTTCACTCTAAAAAAATGGCCTTATTTGATTTTTTGTTTTTATTTTTAATTTTGTTCACTCTAAAAAAAGGGCCATCTAAACTTTAACAATAAAGGAAAATTTCTCTGTTTAATGTCATGCTGCCTCGCATTATGTTTCATCTCTCTGTCACACAAACTCATGCTGTTGGTTTCCTTTTTTGCCGTCCTTTATTCGTTAAGAGAATCCAAATGATGAAGTAACAAACACAACATAATAATAATGTTTTTTGGTTAAATTTTAAGTACCTTTTTTTAAATATCTAAATTTACAGAAACTGTAATTAAATGAAGAAACAGTAGAATATATTATCTGTACTATATATTTGCAAGGGTTGTGAGGGCAAATATTTTTTATGTAATAATAATTCATAAAGAAAAGAGATGTTATATTTCCAAGGGCACGTGATATAACAGCTCTCAAGGAGGCTTCTGAAATGTCCACTTGTCCCTAATATCCAAGTCCATATATGACCATACTAAGGGAAGGCAACGTTTGGGTTTTGGGCCTTGAAGCCTCTTCCCTTTTTTATTTTTTTTCTCTTATTTTTTATTGGGAAACTTACTGATAAGTCTCATGTACCAAGTTCAAGATCCAACTAATCCCAAAACAAAACACTTGTACCAATTAGTTCAATACATTTTTAATTTTTACCAAAATTTTTTTATTTTTTTTTAATTTACAGACACTGTTCACATCTTACTACCGTCGGACTTCCATTTAACGGTCGCCGAAGACTCACCGGAATGTCTAGAATATTGCCGAAAAAAAAAATTAAAAAACATGTTATGAAAATATAAAATTTTACAGTTCTAAAGAATGTTATAAAACTGCAAAATTTTACAATTTTAAACCATGATTCATTCCAGCACCAAAAAAAAATTTTGAAACTGCAAAATTTTACAGTTTTCACCGCCTGTAACTAAAACTCGAAAACTACTTGTTCAGAATTCGAAAATTTTCTCTATTAGAACAGAAAAACAGAAGTGTATAGCAGAGAAAAAAAAAAAGATCGAAGGAGAAAGACGGATGTAGAGAGAGGATTATACTCCGACAACTATTTTTTGTTTAGATCTAGCCAAATCTGATGTAGATCTACTCAGATCTGATCGATCTGAGTAGATCTACATCATATCTAAGTAGATTCACTCATCTTCTTCGTCGGAAATATATATCTTCGCCGTCGGCGAGAGTGAAATCACGAGTTGATTTCGATGGTTGGCGGTTATCAGTGAATCCCGATCAATGGAGAAAGACATGAACACTTGCACCATCGTCTATGACGAAGACGATGAGAGAAAAATGTAGAAAAAAAGAGAAAGAAGAAAACGTAAAAAGAGAGGAAAAAATCAGAGAGATGGAGAAAAGGACTTTTGAATGTACCCAAAAAATTATGGAATTAAATGGTGTCCACATGTTCCACATGGAACTTGTGAGTAATTTCTCCTTTTTTTGTTTTTATTTTTTGGGACAATGTACATGTGATAAAAGCAGCTTTTCTTGTTATCGTAAAGAGACCACGCCCGTTTGGCTGCAATCATGTGGTCTACTTCGTTATAATGCACCCACCCCCCTCACTCCTCGTCTTATATGTATTATTAATTGTTATTTTCCTATTTTATTCTTCTCAAGTTCGGAAAATTATCAATATTTTTAAAATATTACGTATCTATACTTTATAATTAATTATCATTCAATATGTCTCTCATGTTCTCCAATCACTCAACACAGTATCCTACCTACCTATTTTCTCCATCAATCATAATACTATGGCATACTGCATGTCTATACTCCGAGATTATTGAATAATTACTCATAAGTTTCTTGCTTTTCCCACAAATTATTTTCAAAAAAGAAAATTAAAACTTGTGTTTTCCATTAGCCCCTCTTATGAACAATTTTTTAAAAAAAATTATCGTTGTCCGAATTAATTTGCACATATCTCAACTAATCTTGGAATTTCAAAGTTAAATGACTAAATAAATTACTTCTTGAAGTGACTCAGATTTAAGACTTTGAATTTTATTCTCAAATATTTTATCGCTCGATCAATCTTTTAGAATTTCTTAAGAACAATTGATTGTACAACATTCAATACTCATAATAAATAAAGATGGCGTTCACAAAAACACGAGTCCGAATAATTCTATAGGCACCGATTAGTGTACTGATTACTGTAACAATTGATGATGTGACATAATTTAAGAAATTTTTGGTATTTGTAATGTAATTAATGAGTGGGGTTAATAATAATGTCATAACTAATGTTGGTATACTAGTTAGTACCATAATTAGTGCATGTAACACTACCGCAAGTACAAATGAATAGGTAATTAGGGAATGACGCATTTTCAACTGCAAATAAGAAATAAGGATAAATTAGGAAATAACAATGTTAGGTATCATGAAAATAATGTCATGAAAAGTTTTCATGAAGATTCTCCATCTTTAGATTAGATTATAGTGTTTGTAGTGTTTTATTGTATGTTATATATTCACCCTTGGATTAATTTCATGAAATTTTTTATAATATTTATTTCATGATATGTAGCATTACCCATTAAGAAAACGAGAAAGAATTATCATTAGACATTGGAAGCAGGGAAACACACTCGTGCGGCCAAGCCACTAATCTAAATTCATTTTTTTTAATTAAGAGTAATTATTTTTTATTAAATAATTAGCTAAAAAACAAAATAGTTAATTAAAAAAAAATCAAAAGAATTTAAGGCACAAAGACCAGTGGTTTCGTCAAAGCTACAAAAAGTTGAATTGAAGCTCCAAAAGTAGATTTTAATTCGCTTCCCGAAACCATTCTGAAATATACCTTTCAAACACAGCCTTTGTGTATATATATAGATACCATATAGATATACTCAACACTATAAGCTCATTGAGAATTCATTTTCATTTTCTGCATTTTGGAAACATAACCACTTCAAAAACAGAGCATATAGTAAGAAGCAAACAAGTTTACACAGAGAGAGAAAGAGAGATGGGAAGTGAGAAGGCGGTGGAGACAGTGGTTGCAGGGAATTACATGGAGATGGAGAGTGAAGGGAAGCCCAAGGCTATGAAGACAAGGATATCAGAGCTCTTCTGGCATGGTGGCTCAGTTTATGATGCTTGGTTTAGCTGTTCTTCCAATCAGGTCTCTCTTTAATTCTCTTTCTTTCTCATTAATAAGTACTAAAAATTTCAATTGTTTTAACGTTAATTTGTGGTGTTTGATTTGTTTTCAGGTGGCTCAAGTGTTGCTGACATTGCCATACTCATTTTCTCAGCTTGGGATGTTTTCTGGTGTAATGTTTCAGCTATTCTATGGGTTGATGGGTAGTTGGACAGCCTATCTCATTAGCATTCTCTATATAGAGTACAGAACCAGAAAAGAAAGAGAGAAAGTTGATTTCAGAGACCATGTCATTCAGGTCTTCATTCTTCACACATCCTTTTTTTTTCGCACAACCAAACAATGCATTCTTCTCATAAGCCTAAAGTAATGTTTAGTTATATTGGAATGAACATGGAATGGAATGGTCATTTATTAATCTGCCTGTAAAATGTCCAGTATCCTATAATACTGAATGATGAATGCATTTTTCAAGAATGAATGTTGTGATGGAATAGTCATTCAATTCTATTTTTATTTGACTAAAATGAAATATTACCCAAAAAGAGTTAGCAAGTTGACAAATTAAGTTGTGATAAGCATCTCACGAAGTGTAAGTCACGAGTTGGAATTTTATGAAAAAATTTAAGCTTTTCATAGTGATATATGTCGGACAGTAAAACTATGTACCCAATTGGGTCAAAGCACTAAATATCCCCACACACACAAAAAAAAAAAAAAAAAAAAAATGATGAATTAAAATGCATTGTTCTTGATGGGTTTTGGTTTTGTTAACCACTGCTTAATGTTTATCACTTGAAGTGGTTTGAAGTTCTTGATGGGCTGCTGGGAAAACACTGGAGGAATGTGGGTTTGGCATTCAACTGCACTTTTCTTCTGTTTGGATCTGTGATTCAACTCATAGCTTGTGCAAGGTAACCCTATACTACTTACCAAACCAAATCTCTTTTGGCCCTGTTTCTCTATCTTCACACTCACATACTCATTTTGTTTAATGACTTCATTTCAACTTTGTAGTAACATATATTACATAAATGATAATTTGGACAAGAGAACTTGGACATACATATTCGGTGCATGCTGTGCCACCACTGTCTTCATTCCTTCATTTCGCAACTACCGAATCTGGTCTTTCCTTGGCTTGTTAATGACCACTTGGACTGCTTGGTACCTCACCATTGCCTCTCTCCTCCATGGACAGGTTGGTCCCATTTCTAGCCAATCTTGTTGCGACACGTGTAATAACCCTATTGGTCACATAATACAAGTTTATGACTTGGGTTATTTAATTTACATTTTTGTTATGTGTATTTAATTTGTAGGTGGAGGGTGTGAAACATTCAGGACCATCCAAGCTAGTACTCTACTTCACAGGGGCCACAAACATTCTCTATACATTCGGAGGACATGCCGTAACTGTGTAAGACAATTTTGTATTTTACAACTAGCCTAAACTCACGAAAATTAAACATGGAAAAGAACACATAAAACACATTAATAAACATGAGGAAAATTATGTCTATTGTATTTTTTTTGCCTATTTTTATGTTTGTTTTTTGTGTCCTGGTCTTACTGTAGATTTCATGCGTGTTGTAAATTTCATGCGCGTGTCTTACATTTATTCACCAAAATTGTTGGGCTTTTCAATTAAAAAAAAAAATTATATAAATATACAAATTTCACATATTACTCTTACTCATAGATGTTGAATGCACATTCTGTTATAAAATTTTGATATTTGAAATATGAGTTACTAATCAAACATGATAAAAGCAATAAATTGATATAAATTTCTGACCAGTCTTTGTACTTAATTTTGAAAATGACTAAACCTTGGCTTGTGTGGACAAACCCTAGGTAAACCCTAACCATATGAGATCTTGTGACCAATCTTATCTCAAAAAGCTTATTATTCCCTGACCAATTTTATCTAAAAGGTTACACTATTCTGTAGATAATCTTTCCTAAATCATGGATGTGGGACCTTTATTCCAAAATTGCCCTTCTCAGGCGTGGGAGGAAAAAAGTCATCCTTTCCAGGACCCTTTTGCTCTGTTTAAATGTTTTGTACAAAGCCAAAATCCTTTCTTAGTAATATAACTTTTGGTTTTGTCATGATAGACAAAAGGATCCATCTTGATCTTTGAATGGTTTATTGCTCCAATTGAGGGCTTTGTGACATAGCCCAAGTCTAGGTAAATAAAGCCCATGCTAACCCGACTAAAGATCCCTTAATTAATTACTTTGCCCATTCTTTTACGTCAAGGATCCTTTCTTTTAAAATTTGTTGCCCCTTGTCAATACACTCTTAATTATTAAATGTGCTAAAAATTTCAAAACAACAAAATTTTGAACACAATCATATAGACAAACTCTGACAGCTTGAAATTTCATGTCATTCTTATTAATTAATACATTAGGAATATTCAACAAAAATTAGATGTATAAAAAAAATGATTCACATATGAAAAATTTATATTGTAAACACATTTGAAATGGTGTGGAGGACTGTGGTAAGTGTTGTGATAAAAAATAAAATTATCATATAAAGATGCAAAAAAAAAAAATCCATTTACATGTGTCACACTTATCAAATTTTCACTAAAGATGGTGTTTAAATGTTGGTTGGGGCCAGAGAGATAATGCATGCAATGTGGAAGCCACAAAAGTTCAAGGCAATATATTTGTTGGCTACCCTGTATGTGCTCACACTGACGCTACCGTCCGCAGCAGCAGTCTATTGGGCATTTGGAGACATGCTTCTCAATCACTCCAATGCCTTTGCTCTCCTCCCTAGAACTCCCTTCAGAGACATGGCTGTCATTCTCATGCTCATCCATCAGGCATGCTACTCTCTTTTCCCACTATATACCTATTATTAAATACTATTCTTACATTATTTTTATACAGAATTTCTCATCAGAATGATCGAATTATATTTTTATAATTAAATAATTATTTTAAGAGTCATATTATTTTAAAATGATAAATTTCAATACAATTATTCATTTTGTATACAAATTTTGTATATATATTTTTTATCATATAACATCACCTTTTATATTATTTATACTATATATAAAGTAAAATATGGAAATAGTGCAAATGGCCTGGATTTTTTATTCTGAAATGCCTATGACAATTTGAAAACTGTCACTATGAAAATTTTATTTAGATCTTTAAAATTTTAACTATTCATCTTCTTTTTTTCTCAATCATATGTATTTACACATGCATCATGTGTGTACTATCCACAAATATTATATAAAGCATAGATGGTTATTCTTATGAATCTTTTTTGTCACAACTTTCTAATTCCTAAATTCAACTTTAATTGATTTTTTTTTTTGGGTACATGAAATTCAATTTTTTTTTGTTTTTGTTTTTGGCATGCTTTGTGCAGTTTATTACATTTGGGTTTGCATGCACGCCCTTATATTTTGTGTGGGAGAAGGCAATAGGAATGCACGATTGCAAGAGCATGTGTAAGCGTGCGGCAGCGAGATTGCCTGTGGTCATCCCCATATGGTTCTTGGCCATCGTCTTCCCATTCTTCGGTCCCATCAACTCTACCGTTGGATCACTTCTCGTAAGCTTCACAGTCTACATCATCCCTGCTCTCGCCCACATGATCACCTTCAAATCAGCTGCAGCCCGCGAGGTAATATCCTGCTCCACCTTCACACCAGATTACAAATTCCATTAAATACATATATATGTATGTGTTCATCGACAATTATACGATCACATGGTTGTTTATATTCAATCAATTTTATTTTTTGCATTCAAAAATTGAATTGTGTTTTCCTCACCGTTTGATTAAAATTTTGTGATGCAGAACGCAGTCGAGCAACCGCCAAAGTACTTGGGAAGGTGGGTCGGAGCGTATACGATCAATGTATTTGTGGTTGTGTGGGTCCTTGTGGTTGGGTTTGGATTTGGTGGGTGGGCGAGTATGATAAATTTTATACACCAAATTGACACATTTGGACTTTTCACCAAGTGCTACCAATGCCCTCCTCCTCAACTCCCATCACCACCACCACACTTCAACTCGTCTGTCATCGCTCCTTCGCCATCAAACTTGCACCACCGCCTTCACAACCCATGAGCTGTTGACCCTAATTTTTCGCTCCATTGCATCTCTAGATCCAAATCGAAGAAAGAGAAGAAGAATAGTGTCATACAAGCCCCATGGATGTGTTAGCCAATATTAATTCCCACCCATCAAAAACATTGTTTGGGTTAGACCTCTGTTTGTTTCAAAAAATGCAGTATGCCACATTTGAAATTTTGTACTTCAATTACTAAGATGGTTAATGCTTAAATTTTGCTCGATTGATTTCCTCTCCCTAACAGGCACAATTTTGAAACGTTTGGTATTGATCTATTTTGTGTATTCCTGTTTATTAGAAATTTAGAACCGTCTAAACAGGCGAATTTAAACATGTCAAAACAGGTAATGTAATAAAATAATTCAACTCAAATCCATTCATTCAATAAATAGGCATCTTGATTGCATATCTAAACAATAACGAATTTTCAATCTTTAAGTCTTTGGAAAAGACTATGATACACACTCCTCAAAAAATGTGTATTACATATATCTTATAACTATGAATAATGTTATATGCACTAATTAGTGTACTAACTAGCATACTAACAGATGATGTGGTACAATTTTAGAAGTTTTGAGTATTTATAATTTATATAATAGGTGGGGTCAATAATAATGTCATAACATTAGTTGGTACACCAATTTAATTAGTACATTAGTCGGTGCATGTAGCACCACTATATAACTATAGATGAAAATGACATAATTTCATAATTTTTGAGTCATAACAAAAAAACAATTAAAAAATTCATGACTAAACTTGAAAAAAGTCATAACCAAAATCTTAAAATTATGTCAAAACTAAACAAGAAGTAAATAACTAACTAAGAGTGCGTATAATATAAAGTGTGTGTAATAAAATTCTTCCAAGTCTTTGCACATTTGTTTTGAGAGACTAAAACATAAAGATTAGAGTGTGAATATTATTTCCTTTTTTTAGCATAAATTATTTAACTTCTTTTTATTGATTAACTATTCAAAAGACCTTACAAATTCAACTATTCAAAACATTTAAAAAAAAATAAAAATAAAAATACAGCATATCAATATAAATGCAACCTATGCTATACACCTAAAGCTTTGTGTAATGTGTAGTATACATCACAAAAGTTGTCTAAAAACCCTTGTGGGAGAAACCAAAACCCTTTAGAAGGCATGCGAGCCCTCAAATGAAGAAAAAGGCATATCTTTTTTAGTTAAAAGGCCTTCACTCTCTTACATGGTTGATTCCTCCTTTATTTGCTAAACAACAAAGACATTGTTGCCAAGAGTGGTCGACAGCCTCTCCTATTCTTCTGGGTGGGTCTCATTTCAAAAATCTTGAGGGTACTTTATTACAAAACCATTCCCAACAAAAATCTACAATTTACATACCATTTTAACCACACACAAAAAAAAAAAAAAAAGTAAACAAATTGTTAGGAGATTCATTTTGGATGGTGTTCACATTCCGCTAGAGTAAATGTAATGTTATAAATGTTGTATGTTATTTTTATTTTTAAAAAAAGCAAAAATATTGAAGATTTCGCCTGACTAATCCCTTGAGTGCATTAATCTTCTTCTCCCACACATGTAAGTAATCCCTTGAGTGCATTAATCTTCTCCTCCCACACATGTGAGTAGCCTCAAGAGACGATGAGGAATGAAATATAATGAACAAATGGTCTATACACTCCTATATCGAAAGATTACACGTTGACTCTTAATTTGTGAATGAATCATAAATACTTCAAATTTCTTCACTAATATTTTGTTAACTCAAAATTAGAACTGTGCACTTAGCTGTGGACAATGTGGAATTTTATTGAGTCCAAATTTCACTTAATGGTTGGGAGTTAGGGTTGAATCTCCATCCAAACTCAATTTAAGTCCCATCATAGTATAACCACTTAACCAAAGAATGAGACCAATTTTACACACCCAAAAAAAAAAAAATATTTCAGTGTTGGTGACTCGTTAGAAACCCATAGGGGTAAAAATAAAATATTGTGCAAATATTTAGTTTTTTTTTTTTTTTTTTTTTTTTTGAGATCCATAGTATTGCTCGGGATAACTTAGGCCAAGTTTGGCATCCTCCAAAAAATCTAAAAAGTCAAAAAGTCACTATCCTATTTAAGTCACATCATCTTATTTAAGTCACATCATCTCTCTAACACATCACTTCAAACCCAACCCATATTTCATAAAAAGTCAAAAAGTACACTTATTTAGTCTTCCCAAACTTGATCTTACCCAACTTAACAAATGGAGATGATATTGGTAATAGTAATAACTACAAGCTACTTTTCACTCCAGTTGCAATTGAAAGAGAGACTTTTAAGGCTAGGGCTAAAGCCCAATCTCAACTGTCCCAGAGAAATAGGCTGACTAAACCAAGGCTGAATGACCCAACAATAATAACCACAATAATATGGCTATCTCGATTTAATGCATAGGGTTCCAAAAGAGATACTATCAAAACCCAAACTTAGCTTGGAGTGTATCGACAGGAGTAATTTTTGTATACGGATAAGATATATGTCATGTAGTATCTTTTATTATTGTAATTAACTTTAATAGTAGAGTTCACTATATTTATATTGGGTGTTTGAAGAATAATAAGAATATATTTATTTGTGATTGGTAAAAAATAATGTCACATAATACTATATTAACATACAAAAATTTCTCCTACCTACTGAGTCATGTAGCAGTACGGCATGCCCGTAATTAACCTCTAGCTTTACGTCTTGGACTAAGAAGTTTTAAAAAAAAATCAGCTTCTACTAACTAGAGAGCTACTATTTTTTTTGTTAAAGAAAATAGCTTTTCTCCCAACTAGATAGATGTACTATTGAGTTTTCGTAGACCTACTCAAACATATCCCATTGATTCAAATAGTTTGCCTTGTAAAATCTAATGAGTAAGGTTGGAAATATAGAAATTATACACATAATAAGATATAAATGTTATAATGACATATAAATACCTTATAAGGAATGTGACTTTGTATTTCATTATGTGTTTAGCTCTCTATATATTTAAGATTCATTGAAATCCAATACATTAATAATTCAAAAAGATTCAAAAAAAACAATCTAATTTTCTATAACAAGTGTGAGCAACAAAAGTTCTCAAACTCGAGTAAAAGTATAACGGTTATATTAAAATATCACGTACGCGTGATATCACCAACCAATTATAATTTGTCGTACGTGATATCACCAACCAATTATAATTTGACATAGAATTCGGTGAATCCCACTTATTAATTGAAATCATCCACCCATAACATTATTATAACTTCCATTTCATTATTGTAAGGTTGAGATTTATCCATGATAAGTGATAATAAGTTATTGATTAATAATACTACTATCATGATGACATGACATGAATTTTTGTTTTTGAACTCCACTAAAACTTCACCAACTAAGAGTTTAGTCCCCACTATTTACCAATCCTTTTCTTTTCACTATTATTGATGTTCCAAATATTGATCTTCACTAATTTTTTGCCAATCACCATTTGTGCTCTAACAGAGTCATTGAGGATTAGAAAATATGTTTCAGTCTCAGCAATTCAACATTATGTAAAGAAAAGGGATAGAGTATATATATTGGAAAATTTTAATGTGCACATTTTAAAAAAGAGTGGATCATATACCTCCTTAGTAAGGTCATTTTTTTTTCTTTAGTTATAATTAATTTTTTGATTTAATTATAATATTATTTTAATTATGACTCATGAAATTTTTAATTATGTCTAATTTTGTATTTAATTGTAATATTTATTTTAAATATAATTTGACAATCTAAAATTATATTATTTTTTGGGCAAATTACATATACCCCTCGAGGTTTGGCTAAATTACAAATACCCCTGAGGTTTGAGAAATTACGAATTCCCCCCTGAATGCTATATTTGCATAAGAAATTAGGAGGTAATTTGTTATGAAATATAAACTTCAGGGGGCAAATTATTATGAAAATACAAACCTCAAGGGACGGGATGTAATTTCTGAAACCTCAGGAGATATCTGTAATTTAGATAAACCTCGATAGAGGTATATGTAATTTGCCCTTATTTTTTTCTTAACTATAAGATACATATACGATAAAAAGTGTGTATTTCCATATGTATTAATCACATGTTGCTACTATTGGGAGGACTTTAGGTTGAATTATTATCCTTCCCACCATTCATTTCAGAAACTTTTCCAAAACATGTAGACAAAAAAAAAAAAAAAAGAGTAAAAGACCTGGCTCATCCAGACCTTGTCCCCACCCCTCACAACAATTATTCAGAAAGAAAATTAAAAACAGGAAAACGACATAAACCCAATCTCAGAACAGTCTGTTCTTTGTTTCCAAGCTAACCTGGGAAAAGAAAAACAGAGCAACAATACAAAGGTGTGTTTGGATCAAAGATTTGAATCAAAAAGAAGAGAAACCCCTCAAATCTTCAAAAATCACAAAATTTCAGTAAACCTTAATTCTTTCATAGCAAAACGACATGTATGAATATACATGTGTATATATGTATGTAGAGACAGAGAGAAGCCCTGAAAACCCATCATACCATCAATACAAAGAGACCTACTTTAGAAAGAAGAAAGAGATTACAAGCACCAAATCCCAGAAATCCTATGAAAAGCAAACACTCAAAATATCATAAAAAAGAGGTGACCATTAAAATAACAGCAAATCTATTATATGGTTCACCTATTAAAAATCAAAAACAAAAAAAATAAAAAAACTAGCAAGAACAGTAAGAAATTGAAAGATGATAGTGGAAAATAACCGTGAAGATACACGCTTTTGATTCGACCCATTTCAACGAGAAGCATTAGGGCATTCACGAGCAAAATGCCCATCTTCACCACAGTTGTAGCAACCACCTCCACCACCGCCGCCGCCTCCGCCGCCGCCATACCTCCCGCCTCCACCCCCGCCGCCGCTGCCTTGAAAGCAGTCCCTAGCCATGTGTCCCGATTCCCCACACTTAAAACAAGCATTTCCACCCACCGCCGTTACCCACCCGCCGCCGCCGCCCGAACCGCCACCCCCGCGTCCACCCCTGCCGCCGCCGCCGCCTCCGCGTCCTCCACTAGATCCATACCCACCGCCACCTCTTCCTCCGCCTCCTCCGCGGGTAGTGCCCTGAACGGGAGCGCCGTTGGGGCCGGTGACGTCGACGGCTTTGGTGCGGCCGTCGTCGCCTGAATCGATGACGAACTCAACGGCCTCGCCGTCGCCGAGGCTGCGAAAGCCGTCGGATTTGATGGAGGACTGGTGGACAAAGAGATCTTCGCCGCCGTCGTCGGGGGTGATGAAACCGAAACCCTTTTGGTCACTGAACCACTTCACGACCCCCTTCATCCTCGCGCTGTTGTCTTCCTCCATTGGATCAAGAAAGTTCCAAGGGATGTCACAAAACCCTAGAACTCAGAAAGCGAAGAGATGAAAACCCACTGATTGAGAGTGAGAAAGCCAACCCTACTTCTCTCTCCCTGTTGTGAGGTTTGGGCTTTTATGGGCTGAGTGTTTCCACTTCATACTGTCCTCGTTTGGCCAAGTTTTTTATTTTTTTGAATTGGGACTTTTTTTTGAATTTGGAATTTATAAGTTTTTTTTAGTAAAATTTTTAATTTTTTTTATAAAAAAAAAATTATAATTTAGATGTGATATTTTCTTTTATCATTTTATATTATATATATTTTTAATCTGCCAAATTAAGTCAAAATCTAAACCTGGCCTGTTTAGTTAAATTAATTTGGTTTTTTTCTCTTTGGCAAATTTGCAGTAGCTGCTAATTTAGTTTAGCTTATTTGCACTGAAGTCCTATTTGGTATTGTTTATAAATTAATTTATTAGTTTAAAAAAAGAATTAATTATAGTTAAAAAATATATTATAAATTATTTTATCAACTATTTACATGTATTTTTTTATTTTTTTTTGGAACTAGAACTATTTACATGTACTTGAAATTACATATTCATAACTTAATTTTAAGTTTTTCTAATAAATAATTTAAAAAGTTATAATTCTAAAAAGTAATATATAAGGTCTATTTTGATAAGGGTAAAATACACTTTGCCCCCCTTTATTTATAGGGTTTTTTTTAAAGGTCCCTGGTATTATGATTTTATAGCATAAAGGACACCAAATATTTTCATAATGTCTAAGGTCCCTCAACAATATTTTCATAATATCTAAGGTTCCTCAACCTTGATCCAGAGAAATTTCAGTCTAGAGAAATTTCAGTCCAGAGAAATTTGGTCCAGAGAAATTTCAGTGCAGAGAAATTCTGGCTCAGAGAAATTTCTCTGGACCAAATTTCTCTGGATGAGTTTCTCTACTTTTCTTCTCACTCACATCCAAATCATTGTGATTCATTAGGTAAGCAACATTGTTCAACTGAATTCAACTGGAAAAATTTCACATTGTAATATGTAAGCAACATTAGAATGAGATAAAAATGGCAACTTACCAGAACTAGAGAAACTCTTGAAAAATCTGAGTATTTCTCTAGTTTGTTATTGAAATATCAATTGAGAATTTCTTTGTTTATTAAAAATAACAATTGAGAATTTCTCTGGTTTGTAATATTTTTTGAAAAATTTCTGCAGGTCCAGAGAAAATCTATCCAGAGAAAATACTTGTATTTATTAACATTCCATTTCATCCCCACTCCTAGAGTAATAAGATGCAGACTGTTAACATATCTCATATCATTCATTAATTATTCCATAACACATAGTTTTGCATACCTAGTCATAACACACATAAGCATACAAGGATATGAGTGAGGCAATCCCTTTATCTCTACTTCTTATATCAAACCATTCTTAAGTTCCATACTCGTTATTAATCATTGCATTTCTCAACTGCCATACACTTCATTGATTCACAACAATCTTAGTTTCCCCGAAATTTCGCATGGTCTAATTTCACATATAACACAGATAGAAACTAAGTTTACTCTCTTTTCACCTTATGTTTCCACAAACAGGCTTTTACTTATCAATTTGAATATCCTAAGAACACCGATATTCCACATCCTGCAAAACTTTAGCCTTATGTACCCCATTCTCATTTTATAACAATTATCCAATTCTCCTTAATCACAAAACTCAGTCCATGAAACAAAACATATAAATCTTCTTTTATTACCCCAAAGTCCATCAGAGATCAGATTCTCAGGCTTAATGATTAACTGATTGTATAAGCTCACATACCATGTTCAAAATGCACATCATCTCATTTCGTTACTAGATACATGCAACTTAAATGCATTCTAGACACTCTAATGCTCAATGGACATGTGTGTGAGATCTTAACTCATGCTCTGATATCACCTGTCACGGCGCAAACCCGCCCCTAAAAGTTTGGTCCATGACCGGCCTGTACATAGGCCACAAAGCAGAATTTTAGAATAATATTTAATCACATACGGGACCTTAAGCGGAAGCAATATCAATAAAAGACAACATCCATTAAGCTTGTGCATATATGATGGTTTAATTGGATTTAAGCATTTAAATACATTTCCAAATATACATTTACAATCACAGAATTTATATAGATCTCACACACACTTACATAAGACTTAATAATTTATATGACTCCTAATAATAAATTAAGGCCTCCACGTGGAGACATACCCCAGGTGACTTGGCAGACAGGCGAACCTCAGTACAACTCTAGTGTCAATCCCTGATGGCTCACCTATAGAAATATACATAAAACAGAATGAGCAAAGCTCAGTGAATAACAGCAATGTAAGAAGGTTAATTGAATAAGCAAAACCTTGGATAAAATAAATAAGCAGATACCAACCATATACAGGTCTTATCCATAACTATAATTCAATACGGTCTCAGGCTCACATATAATACTGACTGGCTTCAAGTCCATGCAGAATAGAAAGCGGCCATAGGCCCAACACATTATGCAGAGCGACCTCAGGCCCAACAGATTATACAGAGCGGCCTCTGGCCTAACAGATTATACAGAACAGCCTCTGGCCTAACATATTATACAGAACGGTCTCAGACCCACGTGTAACACAGAACGGTCTCAGGTCCATATATAATACAAAGCGGCTATAAGCCCAGATATGATATAGGACGACTGTAAGCCCAGATATAATACGGATTGGCTGTAAGCCCAGATATAATACAGAACGACTTTAAGCCCACAGATGATACAGAATGGCCTTAAGCCCAGATATCAATAGATTGGCCTCGGGGCCATCATTAGCAAAACAGAATGATTCCAGATACACCAAGATATCATTGTTCCATAATACACATACATTCCATTGTTCATCATGAATTTAGATAGTTAACTCGCAGATAACAGAACATCAGTATTAACTATTAACAGTAAGCAAAACGTACTACTATAGTACTATTACTCGATAGTGCACAAAGATTTTCCCACGGTTTATTACAAGTCGACATAGTTGTCTTGCGGATAACAGAACATTAATAATAACTATTAACAGAAGGCAAATATATCACTGCATAATAGGGACAGAACAACTCACATCATAGTGGCCTAATCTGATTTTGCTTTGGAATTAGGTTTTGTTGGGAAAGATTTCAATAGGAGCCCAAAACGACTTGGAGAAGGTGACCAAGATGACCTATGCTCAAGTGGCGATCTATGGTTTCAGTGATAAAGTAGGTCTTCTCTCCTTTCCTCAAAGAGAGGACACATTTGAGATGACGAAGTCGTACAGCAGCACGACCGCTGCAATCATCGACAACGAAGTAAGAGAATGGGTGGTAAAGGCATACGATCACACGTTACAGTTGATAGAGCAGCACAAAGAGCACGTAGCTCAAATCGCAGAGTCAATCGATGTGTCTCTGGTAGAGGAGCTGAGTGCAGGAAGGAGAGCAACTGGTCAAGGGTTGGGGATTTGGAGCCAGCGGTGATCAAGCTCAGGACAACGTGGATGGAGAGGGGATGGGGTGAGGGACCTTAGACTACAAAATAACAGATTGTGGACCTAATCCATTACTAAAAGTTGGATAGGGACCTTAGACCGATTTTCCCTTATTTATATATATATATATATATATTTACTTTAGCTTTTAAAATTAATATTTTTCACTTTGATCATTCATGTTTTAAAGTTTTTTGAGCTTATTCTAAAAACTAATTTATGTTCAAAATTAGATAAAAAAATGTCACGATAACTGTTACATAACATAAAAAATATATTGTTATATTAGAGTTTTAGTTTATGTAAAATGAATAAGTTATAAATAATAAAATATTTTTATATTACACAATTTTTAATGTGTCCTTTTTTGTTTAATTTTGAAAAAAAAATAATTTTAAGAGTAAAATGAAAAAACTTGAAACATGAAAACCAAAATAAGAAAAAATAAACTTTAAGAACTAGGGATATTTATTGATAAATCCCATTTAGAAGTGTTTTAACCCAAAAAGTCCATGAAAAAATTTATTATCCCATTTAATCTCATTTATGTATAGTTCTATTCCATAAAATCCTTTTTCTTGATTTACATTCTTTTTTTAGACTCTTATGCCCTTATATTTAATTTTGATACCCTTACAAATATTTTTTGAACGGTTAGCAATTTTATGATGTAAATATTCATATTTTAACATTCACATTGGTAAGAATGTAAAATTGGCCCGTGGCCCGTGGGCAATCCGGAGATCGCCTCCGGGGCGGGGCGGGCCCGGTCCGTTGACAATGTGAATATTCACATTGACATGTTAACATTCACATTGATAGAAGTGTAAAATTGGCCCGCGGCCCGTGGGCGGGCCGAAGCCAACTCGTGGCCTGTGGACCGCCCGGGGTGGACCCGGTCCGACTCGTTGACAATGTGAATATTCACATTAACATATTAACATTCACGTTGATAGGAGTGTAAAATTGACCCGCGGCCTGTAGACGGCCTGAAACCCGCCCGCGGGCTCGGCCCAGCCCGTTTACATTGTGAATATTCACATTGACATGTTGACATTCACATTGATAAGAGTGTAAAATTGGCCCGTGGCTCGTGGATGGCCCGAAGCCAGCCCGTTGCCCGGGACGGAGCGAGCTGTAAATATTCATATTTTAACATTCACATTGGTAAGAATGTAAAATTGGTCCGTGGCCCGTGGGCGGTCGCCCGTGGCCCGTGGGCTGCCCGGGGCGTGCCCGGCCCGGCCCGTTTACAATGTGAATATTCACATTAACATATTAACATTCATGTTGATAGGAGTGTAAAATTGACCCGCGGCTCGTAGGCGGCCCAAAACATGCCCGCGGGCCTGGTCCGACCCGTTTACAATGTGAATATTTACATTGACATGTTAACATTCACATTGATAGGAGCGTAAAATTGGCCCGCGGCCCGTGGGCGGCACGAAACCCGCCCGCGGGCCCGACCCGGCCCGTTTACAATGTGAATATTCACATTGACATATTAACATTCACATTGATAGGAATGTAAAATTGGCCTGCGGCCCGTGGACGGCCCGAAGCCCGCCCATTGCCCGAGGCGGGGCGGGCTATAAATATTCATATTTTAATA